TACATCTGTCTCTTCTCTGATACTTCATGTGAGCTCATATTTCAGCCTTTTGGCCAATCATGGCAAGAATTAATTTTCTCATCCTTTTTCAGCTGTTATTTTACATAAATGTCTAGCACTTAAATCTTTTATTCTTCTTTTCCTTTGGAAAATTTCTTAGAAATTGCACAGTAGATTTAGAAGTATTGCAACCAGGACACAGAGGCATAGGCTCATATGGTGTAATCTTACAAATTTTTTATAAAAAATATTATAACTTCTTTTGGATTCAGTGATGTTTTATTTGGAAGGAATTTAGCTCCTCTGAATTCATAATCTAAAGTTCATTAGTATTCTGAGGAAGAATGTTTTTAAGTCTTCTTTTTATCTTGACCACCCTATTACATTTCTCCTGTCGAGTTTGGACCACATCTCTGTGTCATAGTTATTCCCTTGTGGTAATACCTTGGTGCAATAAAAAACTAGAAGTGGGAAGAATATTTTGACTATACACATTTTCAGATGCTTAACTTGATAAGAGATCTTCCTCGTGGTTGTATTTTGGGTATACTGAAGCACAGTAATACCCAACAGCTTTAAGATGTTTCCATGGTTATATAATACAAAATAAATCTTCAAACATGAATTTTATATTCCACTAAATTTGGTCATTGTTGATTTTAAAGGATGTTAGATCATCCACCATTAAGAGGTCTTTAGAGCATTAGGGTGTTTAGGAACAAGTGCTGGACAGTTTTGGAGAATTTCTCTTACTCCTTGGCATGTTTTTATGATTTTTCAAATATTGGAGATAATTTACAACCCTGCTGGTACTATACTAGAGACCTTATGTGATGGAATTTCTATCACTTTTCCTTTTAGACATTTAAACCACATGTCATTCTAGAAAAACGAGGACAGAGGTCCAACAAAGGAGTGATTTATTTTCAGTTAAAATACTAGCTACATTAAAACCACATGTTACTAAGTACTGTATAACCAAACCACGCTCAGAAGAAGGCTTACAGCACCAAAGCTTGCTTCAAATGTTTCTCTTTTTTAACCAAAAAATCTTTGGCAGTGCATACATTAATGGACTTCACCTGAGCTGCACAGTATATTGGCTATGATTTTCCCTCAATGAAACAAGTTATTTGTACCAGAGTACAAACTAATTCTGTTCCTTATTATTTTTCTTATGTTTCTGGATGGTTGAATTTTTCTGTCCATTGTAGGTAACATTGCATCTCTGCAAATATCCTTCTGGAAAATAACATGATAGCATTAAGGTTGTTAAGACTGAAACACAGTTTTTCAAAGTGAGGCATCTTTTATTTTGGGTATTTTACCAACATGAACTCTCATAATGCTCCTGTGACAAGTGTAAATTGATTCATAGGAGTAGTACACACAAATCCAAGACGAGAATGGAAATCAATAAGAAGATTAGAATTAAGGGGCCCCAATTTTGTTTTCAGGATGCAGATGCTGAGGACTAGTTTCTGTCCTCATGCTACACTTCCACAACAGATTGCCTAGGACTTGAGGGGAATTTTTTATGCTAATGTTCCCAGGTGGGTTGCCCAAAACTTGGTGGAGATGACTGGTGAAGGATTCATCCTGTACAAAGGACTTATGCGGTTGCACCAAACTTCTATGCTGTTTCTGAGCATGTACATGTGGATGATACTGGCACTGAGAGGGCGCTTGGAGGACTGGGAACTTAGGTGGCTCACCTGTATCCTCCAGGGGATTGTTAAATGCCAAAACCCTGTCAATATACACTGGTATCAAATGGGGAAGTGAAAGTGTTGTTGCCTCACTGTTCAGATTCCATGTTGCCTCCAGCATTCAATGTCCAATTTGCCTGGAGTAGAAAGCTTGTCCCTGTGCTTTCTAAGAAATGCACAACCACTCACAGATCACCACAACACCCCTATCTCACAGGTAATTGCTGGACAATTTTAGCCCTAAAAGGAAACTAGCCAGTTACTGTCAAACAGTCTTTAAACAAAACAAGGGTCAGAAGCAGAAAATTTCTCTGCTTGCGTACTTGAGATGATTCTAATTCAGATGTTGCAGTCACATCTTGAAATCATTTAATACTACCTTAAGCTTGCCTTGTATCCTCATTTCTCTTGAAATTGCTTAGTTCATACAGATCCTGAAGTATTGATTCTGCATCAGCAACATGCTAAATTTTGTAGTGGCTTCAAACAAAGAAAGGTACAACAGCTTATGTTATGTTTTTTTTCTCAGTCCTTGACTGCCTAATTGAAATAAATCATATTGTCTACTACATATACTTTATTAGACAGTAGAAACACTACAGAATTAAAGCTGTCTAGTTTATGGATATCAGTATCAAGTAATGCATAGATGGTACAAGAGATCACACAGTGGACAAAAAAGGACCATGTGGTAGACTTGACTTGTGCCATGTCTAAATTATAAACTGTTACACTAGATTTTAACATACTACAAATTAAGCCTTTTCAAAATTATTATTGAGTCATGTGGTCAATAAACCCCTGTGCCGTACAGAATATTTTTTTTTTTTTTTTATCAGCCTGGTAGGTATACCTTTAGTCATAATTGAGATTACTGCTTACCTGCAGTAAACGGTGTGTAAACTCAGAGTAGGAAATACAAGGCAGCTGTACTCCTGCTGCTTGCTTTGTCTTTCCTGGAACACTAGAGCTGCCACCAGTACTGCAAGTATATTGTAGGGCACAATGTGGCTGCTATTGCCATGTTAAATTGATAGAAGAAGCCCTGTTTGTGTCTCTGCCCTTTAGGAGCAGTTGGATCAGCAAGGCATCTCTCCATCTCATTTGCCAGTTCTGGATTATTGTCCAGAAATTATTGTCTTCCACTGCTTTTCTTTCATAAAAATAATAGAATTGACTGTACATTTTCACTGATTGTAATTATGACTCTCTTTACTATCCTCTCAGAGCCTTCTCCCTTTTTCTTAATTCAGATCATCACCTATCTTTTCTTAACATTACATTGTCCAACTGACGTGTCTTTTTTTTTTCCTAGATGTTTCCAGATGTGTGGCTGAGAGGAAGTACACCCAGGAACAAGCTCGCAAAGAATTTCAACAAGTGTTTATCCCAGAATGTAATGACGATGGCACATATAGTCAGGTTGAAAATTTTTCACTCAGTGTCTTGCATGGCCAGAAAGTCAGAATATGTGTGTTTGCAGAGAATGAGGAAGAGAAAAATGTAATTTCAAAATGAAATTTAATTCGTGCTAATGCTGACGTTAAGAAATGGAAGGAAAATTCATGGTTTGTGCCGAGTCCTTGTTCTTTTTTTCAGACTTGGCCTGCAAAATAGCCAAACATTACCATTGTCCATGTGATACACTCCCTGTTCTTTTAGGCTGAGGCAGCTGAGTCATTCTTGTAGCCCCCTGAATACTCATCAGATGGTAAAATGCTTGGAATTTCTGATCTGTTCCTGATTTGAACCAGAAATCTTGTGACCAGAGTCCATATCATAGTGCTAAAGCATGAATCACACAGAGTTCTTCCCTATTCTCAGCTGAAGCATATGGTCAATTTATATAATTTTAATAATTTACCTTGGTTAGATTATGGAATTCAGAAGGGACACAGAAACTTATTTTGTGATATATATTCCAGTCAAGATCACCTTCTGCTGAGTCTGTACTGCATTTCAGTTGCAGAGATGTGCAGAAGACAATCCTTCACATTTTAAATGTGGTGAGGGAAGTGATATTGGCCCTCAGGAAATATAATGCAATTGATTTCTAAGAGGAATTCCAAGAGTTTCCTTTCTGACAGCTTGGGATATGAATAATGCTGGCAGAAGCACTCTGTCCTGCTCCTTCAGTGGGTGGAACAATATGTTCTCTATGTGGAAAAAACCTCGAGATTGCTTGCTTCAGGAACAGTTTATGTTCCCTTGAGGAACTTCGTTGTGAGGTTTTCGTAACACCTGCACCTCACTCTTCTGAAATAGGGTGTAAACAAACACATATTTCAATAGTTTTCCCTTCTGTTGGATTCTGAAGGACCTACCACACTTTGAAATAAACTCTTCTTTATGCAGAAGAATCATATGTAGGAATGAGATTAAGTCCATTATGGTTTATTGCTCTAGGTTTTGTCAGAATAGTCTTTTCTAATCATGTGTCATGAACACTGTGGGGTAACAGATATATTTTGACAAACTGCACATGGTTCATGTTGTTTCTGACAGGTTCAGTGCCATAGTTACACTGGATACTGCTGGTGTGTCACTCCCAATGGTCGTCCGATCAGTGGTACTGCTGTGGCCCACAAAACTCCCCGATGCCCAGGTAATGACATTTGTCTCATCTCTGGCATCTGATTAGATTTGCAGGAAAAAATTCTTCATTGGAAAAGTGGTTCAGGCAAGAAACAGGTGCTGGCAGAAGCTGTGGATGCCCTATCCTTGGGGATTTGCAAAACTCAACAGGATGAGGCTCTGAGAAAGTTGGTCTAGCTTTTAAGCAAGCCCTGCCTGAGGTCTGAGGTCACTGCTGCCCCAAACCTTCTTGTGATTCTATGATCCATTGACACTATTTGTACTGTAATCTAGTTATTGAAAGGGTTTTCTGCAGTGGTTATTTGTGCAGTATTTGTGTCAGTTTGTGAAACCATACAATTGACTTGCTAAGGTAGATCTTTCTTTATGTTGAAGCTCTCTCACACATAAACTCATTGCAAAAAAAAATTTAGAGGACTTTGCCTTTTCTATATTTTAAGTATTTAGAATATAGGAAAAAACCTAAAACCATACTCCAAAAAATTAAGGAGTGTGAATGTCCTGATTTGTAACATAGTCCAATGAAAGAACTTCCACAGCAAATCCCATGAATGACCATATCCAGAGGAGAAATAAAAATGAAACAAAGCATTAAGAACATAATGGAATCATTGTTTATAGAAATTAATTGGCAAATCACACTCATTGCCACGTGTACTGCCTTTTGTCTTTCATCAGGACAATTAACAGGTTCACTGTTTTTTAGGACTTTTCTTCTGACCCTGTTTCATTGATACTGATAATAAATACAAATCCCCAGTGTAGGAACTGTTGCCAGAATTGCTGTTCACCTTTGAAGCTGACAGAATTGCACAGAAGTAGCTCTAAAAATACTTCAGTTCTGTGTAGTGCACTTCTGTTTGTGCTGCAGCACCCTTCTTTATTAGAGACTAGAAGAAATAGCTTTAAAAAGCTACCTCTGTAATGTAAGTGAAGCTGAAAAAAACCTTGTGGATTAGGGCCTTTGGGGGAATTTACCTGGTCAGATCTTCATCAGTCATTCAAGCACAATATTGATGTTTTTAACAAATAAATGGAAGAAGGAAGAGACCACTGAGAAAGTTTCACCAAAGATTATAAAAAGTTAATTCCATTCTTAAGGTCTGTCTTGTTTAAATGATTTGCGGAGTCTTTTATGCATCTTGCCTGTAGGTGAACTTTAGTCAGAAAGAATACTCTTCAGGCTAATCCTTTTGATTCAGTCTGAAAAGTCACTGTGTAATGACAGGCCGTTGTGAAAAATAATAAAAAATATTCAGAAGCCTTAAAAGAGAAGAAAATGTGCATTCATTTTAATGTAATTATTGTTTATATCTGGATCACTTCTTCAGAAGACACCTGGTAGATTGTATTTATGTTCTTCAGTGTGTTCTTCAACAGAGGAGGTTTTGCATGCCCAAAGCCAGGGCTGCCCTGAGAGCACGCCTTCGTTGCTTTCCCTGTAATATCAGAGAAATATCCCTTTCTTTCACTGGCATAGTGAGAAAAGGGGTTATGCTGGTGCTGAAATTTTAACAAGTAATTGTTTGGCAGATATATCAGAACATATGGGATTGTGATTGGCTCAAAATGCTGCAGAGTTAGTTAATGTACTTTCACTTTTTCGATTTGGGAGGGATGTTAGTTTTACAGGAATGCTAAGGAAGAGGTGAGAGTAGCATTCGATCATAGTTTAGTAGCTAGAGATAAATAGACTGCCCTCAGGCCCAGGTGAGTATGTAGAATCTGATTTTGATTCATGGAAGATGGTGGGTAATTTTCCAGTTGTTACGAGACCCTTTGGGATTATCTCTGCACATTTCCTCTCCTGCTTGTATCAGTGTTCTGATGTTTTACTGCTCATTACATCTCCTCTGTCCCTCAGGAACGGAGTCCAGCAACAGCAGAGTTTAGAAACAGATTTGAAGTGCTAGGGGCTTTTGCAGTAGTAGGGACTAAGGGCTCAGCTTTGAGAGGTCTGGAGAAGCCTTCTCATACAGCAGAGAAGGCAGCTACAGATTTTCTCAGAAAGTTATGTGGTATAATAAGGCAAAACTTTGCTCTTATATTGGAGAATGAAAGCCTGAACTACAACTGCACCCTGCTCGCTTTTCCCAGTCTATGTTCAAAATTGCCATCTGTTTAGGATAACAGAGATTCCTGCCCCCCACCCCGCCAAGGACTGTTGATGTTTTCCAGATCACCATTGATTCCCTTTTATAAAATGGTGATACTTTTTCTTTAGGACCATTGTGCACAAGAATTACAAGATAAATATTAGTGGGTATACTGAAGTTAAGTAGAGGTACCTCTGTCTTAACTAGCATTTCAGGGATGCTATTTCTTCCAACACTATCGTCCTTAATCAGTCTAATACATTGTGTGCTTGCTAGCCTCATTGCAGGCATTGCCCTGCAAATTTTTGGTCTTGAGGGCAGATATTCTGTAGCAGTGGCATCCTGACATCAGCATGTTTATGTTTTTTCACTTGCTTCTGTGTATTCTGCAGGCATGATGCTATAGCTATTTCAATGGCATTTATAGAGATTTCTCAGTTTGCATGTGCCAGACTTTGTTATCCTGGGATCACTTTGGCTGCCTTTTCCCTTTAGAGCAAAATGCACACAGATAATCAAGATGGCAGGTAGAGTCAATTTTGATCATGCTTTTGTAATTATTTTCTCATAGGAAATGTGATACTGTAGAATGTGTGAAAGTTTCTCTTTTTAATGAAAATGTTCAGTGTTTATTTTCAGTTCTAGTTTAGTTCTTCAGTAACTTCAGATAAGGTTTGAATACATGTCTAATCAACTGTGCTGTTCCTAAATTATGGGATAATTTCTTGCCTTTCATTTTCTCCCAGTAGAACCACCTTTGACTTTGGTGAATATCCAGAAATAGGAAAGAAGAGCATGTCAGCCTGGAAGAACTTGGATTTTAATAGAGGAAATATGGAACAGAATTTAGAATGGGCAGTTGGGAGCTTGGTGTCTTGATGCTATTCCCTATCTGAGCCTTACGTTTACTTTACATTATCACTATATTAGATAGGTGAAACAATCAACCTCTAAGTTTATCTAACTGTTGATATTGTTTATCTGCATAACATGATGCTTCCTTCCTAAAGTTATCTCAGGTCCTGGAAGAGAAAAGTGTCGTGTGTGTATTTTTTATGTATCTACAATAGATGTATGAGCAATTTTGTGCTCATTGTGTTGTTCTGTTTGCTCTTTGATAGAGACACAGGGTGTGGAAGGATGAAGGTTATAAGTAGCATTAAAAAATGCAGGAGACTCCAACTGATTTATGTAAAACCTTCACTTCAATCACAGCATCTTTACCTGAAAGAGGTTCTTCCATCCTTTCCAGTTATTCCCACACCAACAATTGGTACTGCTAAAACACACATGATAAATCTCAGAATGCCATTCCACTCCATAGAAATAATCTCTACTGTTGCAGGAACAGTGGTGAGAAGGAGAGTAAATCAAACACATTCTCACGACAGCATTAAAAAGAAAGTTTCTTAAAAATTATGAATGTCCCCCAATACTTTCACTAAAGAACACCAGACACAAGAAAGACATTTTTACAACTCCCTGTCTCTGTTATCAGCACTGCAGGGAACTACATAAATTCCACAGGCATGGAGTCCTGGGAAATGGGGCAGAAACTGAGAAGCAGGTGTTAAATTATCATTGGAAAATATAGTGTTTACCTGTTGTAGGGCTTTTATGCAATATTAACTCTTCTGGGCTTCTGCCAGTGAGATTGCAGAGGTATGGACACAAATTTTATTATTCTGTGAAGTAAGTTTGCTACCTTTCAATTAAGATGCCATGATCATCTTTTAAGGCCCAATCACAACTACTTAAAAATTCAGAACTCTTCCTGTCTGTGCAGTATTATCATTGGATAAAACAATTAATATGTTTGGGAAGGCAATGAACTTCTTTCGTTTGCACTATATTACTTTTATTACCTGGGAAAAAAGTCTCCATCCCTGAATGATCTAGTTCTGTCCCAATACGTAGTACTTTCCCCGTAAATACAGTCAGATATACACGTGTGCTGTGGAACAGCATGAGAAGTTTACTGTCCTGTTACTTGATATCTGCGTTCAGTGAGTACTTATCAAATAATCTTTAGCAGGAGATCAGAAATCATAATCTAAACTTCATAACAGTAGACTTTCACCTTCTCTTTCAAAGCCCAGTTACATGTGATCAGAACCACAGAAAATGGAAATTCACAAAGCACAAAACTCACATCAGATTCCCTGGAAGGCTTATTGAGCCTCAGAAGTTGTGAGACTGAAATTGTGGGTTTTGCACTAAGCTAAGGCATAAATATTTCTGCTTTTTCTTTTTTTTTTTTTTTAAATCAGAATCATGAATGTATAGATGGCTAAGGAAATGCACAAGTTAGAATGTTATTAAATTCTTCTTATTAAAATAATGTCGCAGAATCTAACATCAATCCTTTCCCTCTCCCCTTCTATAAATATATTGATGTGGTAAGTTGGTTGTTTACAGTGCAGTGGAAACTTGGAAGCTGATTGTATTGCCTAACTTTTAGATACGTTTTAAGTTGCTACTTCTGCTTCTTGCCTAGCTGAAAATGTGAGCATTTGTTGCGAACATTGAAGATACAATTTCTTAGAAACTGGCAAATACAACTTCCTGTCACCATTTAAACTAAAGGTACTTCTACCTCAAACATAATCAGAAAATAAAGAGAAGAAAAGATGTAGAAAAAAATGATACATGCTCAATAATCCCTCCTCACCTCCAACGTGGAGACAAGAAAAGTTTCTGCAGCATAAATTGAAAAATTCACCTGAAACTATGTGAAGGGCACAGATTTCCCCTTGTAGGAAATACTTTGAATATTTTTGTTACCTTTCTAAGACTATTAAAAAAATTAATGTTAGCCCAGTGAACCTAATTTTGCTAGCATTCATTTAATTTCATAGGAAAATTTGATTCACTATGATAAACTTAGACTTTGTAAATGCCACTTTCTTTCACCATCTCCAAAATCCATCAATTTACCATCATAATTAAGTAGGGTAAAGTAGAGCAAAGCATAGAAAAAACATAATTCTGTTCTCCCTGTCTATATCTGAATATCATATAGTCATTATTTCTCACCATTTCACATACGGATGGAGTAATCTGAAGGTACTTTGCTGTTAATGAAATAATTTCTCCTCACAAATTGGTCTAAAATGCTTTAGTGTGGATGAGTCAGACCAAAAATCTCTGTATTTGCAAAGGAATTGTAATTATACTCCAGTGCATCAAAATTAAGTTGAGAAACTACAGAGTTAATCAGAGCTGGATGAAATTTGAGGAAAGGTTGGATCACTGTATTTAGTGCAATTAGAAGAACCTGTAATTTTGTATGCAGTACTTCCTAAAACTGCAGCATCTTATTTGAGTTCAGGCTGAGGCTCTTATCAAATTCAAGCCAAGCACCAAAAAACTCAGATTTTCTGGCGTCAGCTAGCATAAATGCAAGAATCTGCCTCCTCTTCAAGAGTGAACAACACGGGTTATTATTGCAGTCTGTTTAGAGCAAGCTATTCCAAACACCCTTGGATATAATTCCTACAATGACAATGGCTTTATTTGTCCTGTCTGAATTAATAGTGACGCATCACTAAGTATATTGAATTTCTGGTGATTCAAACACGATATGATAAAAATACTCCACCACCAAAAATGGAAACACGGCTAAACTAGAATATTTTAGATGTGGATGTATAAAAGATGTATCAAAAGCTTAATCCTTCAGCAAGTAATACTTGCTTGCCTGCACTGTCATGTATTCTTTTATGGAGGCTTTAAATTCAGCATGCCAGGTTTGTGATGTTAGCTGTCTTACCCCTTGGCAGACTCCTGTGTCTAAACTTCATGCTGAAGTAACTATCAGTTCAGCATGGTAAACAAGGCCTGTAATTTAGTGGGTTCTCTGACTTAAATTGTCCTTTTAGAACAGAATTATTGTGCTGCAAGTTTTTATTGTTTTGTTTGGTTTTGTTTTAAACCTAACAAATTTAATTATTCCAGAGGGAAATCAACTAAAAAAATTAAGGCAATCAAATTATTTCACACATTTCTGAGCATTTATCAGATTTTTTTTTTTCTCATTAAAACAGGTGTAGGTAAGAAGAGAGAATGTGGTAAGAATTGGTAGATATGCTTTTTAATTTTTGATCACTCCATGTGTCTTTGGAGAGAAAAATACCACTTTTAAAGGTCTTTTTTTTTAATGCAGCAGAGATAGGCACATGGATAAGAAGAGGCTAGGCATTAGAACCATACAAATGGGTGTGTAATAATGAGACATAAGCAAGAAATAAGGAAGTATTTCTATTTTAAACCATAAAGACAAGTACCTCATGTAAAAAGTACTAAGAAAACCAGTAGATTGTCCGTTTCTGGTGACTTGAAGTCATGATTGGATGCTGTGTAGTTTTGGAGTCCAGGCTGGTAGAATAAGCTGTTAAAACCCAACTCCTGAAAATTTCTGAACACCTTTCCCACCATTGCTGTCTCCTAGGAGCCACAGCTCGGACGACATCTCCTGCACCCAGCTCAGACTCAAACTCAGGGTCTGGCACTGTCCCTGCTTCTCCCAACACGCACACTTTTCCACACCAGCACAGGGTTTCTAGAGGGCTTTGCATGAGGTATTTATAGCAGAAAGGGTCGTTTTTAATATGCGCCAGGACAGGGCTAGACGCTGAAGCAGCTCCAGAGAGAACCTAGTGTGTGTGGGCAAGACTGTCTGCAGGAAGGGTGCTGCCCTGCTGAAGGAACTGTGAGGGGGTCATGCCAGGGCAACACATCTTAACTGCAGGACTTTTCCTTGCTGGGTCAGTGGGGAAAGGAGATGTTGACTCCGCAGCACGTGAGCATGTTCTTTCACTTGTGTTCGTGTAGTGTTTAATGTTACCACTTTATCAGGTCCTGCAGTAGCCAGGAAGTAGCATCTGGAAGTAACTTGATGGTACACAAATGCAGAGGACGGGCAAAGCTAAAATCTTTGGTTTGCAAGAGAAGGATTTGCTGATATTTATTGATGTAATAAACAAAAATGAATCATTAAAGCTGAAATGTGTATCTTAAAAGACATAGTAAAACTGAAAATAATAGTTTTTGGTTAATTCCTTTTTCCGATTGCAGGTTCAGTGAGTGAGAAGCTGCCACAGCGAGAAGGTGCAGGAAAAGCAGGTAAATATCTCAGTGTCCCTTTAAATTGAAACTAAAATAGCTGTGGGATACACAGCTGTGATTTTCCATAGGTTTGTATTATAAATATATAATTTTTATTGGGCTGATAATCACTAAAGTTGCAGCATTATATCTGAATTTCAGGAACTAACATAGGATCAAATGTTTCATAAACTAAAACTGTGTGCCAAAGGATGCTTAGAAAAATGGCATTTAAACCCAGAACTGAATTTCTGGCTGGGCTCTTGGTAATATTTACCTACTGTAAGCTATCCTCTGAAATTCTGTGTTTTCTGAATCACATACTGATTGATGATCTAAACTTATGTCTTCATTCTCAGTACACTAGGATACTTGATGGCCTCTCTGAAATTAACCAATGGTCTTATTCCACCACCCAGAGGACTCCACAAAAATTCCAGCAAAATTAATGAGAAGCAACAGTCTGTTATGGAATTGGAGCAAAGTATCCTGTCATTGCGTGGACATGAAGAATGAGCATTCTTAAAAGAAGTCTTCTTATGATTTGGTTAAAACATTTTGCAGTGAAAATAAATTTCTATTGCTGTTGCTTTGATTTTGTGAAAAGCCTGGAGATTAGTGTTCCATGGCTGAAAATTTGGTTTTACCTGCTATAACATTTTCTTGGTCTCTGTATTTGCTGTGAACTAGGCTGTGGCCTCCAGAGGGGAAGGTCAGAGTGCCTCCAAATCCTCTGCCTGATCTGCCTAAAGACAATCTAGATTTACAAAAACACCTGTGATGGTGACAACAAAGAGAACAAGAGGAGGCTGTTGTAAATTCCAATAGGAAGAAGAAGTTGTTAGCCTTAAAGCTGCTGCCCACCATTACCCCTGTAGGGCTACATGCAAGAGGAAGCTTTTCTGTTACCTTTGGTTCTAGCTTCTATGATAATGCCGGGAAAACGGTCCAGAAACTGTTAGTCTGAGGTACTGTTGTGAAATTGCAATAAATGCTAAATCTTGCGTGGAAGTTGCTGTTTACTGTGAGACATCTTGGTCTTCGAGCTAGCTCCGTGCAGCAAGAAACATCAATGGCTGGAAAATGTATACTAGCAAGGCCTACTAAGTCATATTTACTCAATATCTGAAATAATTTTAAATAACAAAAACATAATAATGTAAAGATAGGCTTTTGGGCACCACTCTTTCTCACGGTATGCAAACTTACCTAATGTTTCATATTGATTTTTTTTTTCCCTAGCACTACTTCCAATGTGTTGAACCAAAACTAAAATTACCCACTTCCTCTTGTAATTTCTGTAATTTTCCTCCCTCTTTTCTTGCAGCAACGGTTGGTAGTGGATGAACGGAGATGGCTGGCGAGAGGATAAGAATTACACAAACAATGTTCTGGTTCTTTACTCTGTGATTTTTTTCTTATAAAATCCGCTTGACTGTTAAATAGATCCTGCTGTGCCAAAATAAATTTCCTTTCATTTTAAGGTGTCAGCGTGTCTGCAGCCACTCATTTGCCCTAGACTGCTTTTGCTTTTACAGGTCTTACCCCTTCTATACTTTTATCCAATTATTTCTTTAGAAGTGACGATTTATCAGTGATAAACTATAGGTATCAATGTGCAGCATTAAAAATGGAGAATTACTGTCCAGGGAGTGACCTGATCACGTCATGTCTCATCAAAGACTCTGCAGTCATTTCATCAGCCATAACTTTGAAATCCATCCATTTATAATCTGCAATCTGTACATGTAATATATCTATGCTGTGTAGTACCTATAAATAACGTTTGAATTATTGTTTGTTTACCGGCCGGGGCTATGTGCAAATCATTAGTATCAATCACGTATGTACACTTATTTAGCTTACTCTCATAATTGTAGTCTCCTTGCAAATCTTTTCCATTCTGAATTCAGATGATGCCTCAGCTCCCGCGCTGGAGACTCAGCCTCAAGGTGATGAAGAAGGTGAGCATCAACAGGAATTGAACAGTGCGGTATTGAACCATACAATATGGACCGTATACCACAATGTCAAATGCTACCTTAGAGTTAGGGCAACTGCTGGAGCAGTTGCAAGAAATAGCAAGAAACTGAAAGCATTAATACCTTTTTCTAGATAAAGATAGCAAACCCAATAGAGTCTTTACTTAAAGCAATGAATTTCATGTGGTAGTTTTGAGGTGACTGTAGCTATGGAGCCCAACATTAGCAATTTTAATGGCCAAATAAGAAGGCTAAAGGATAAATTCCATCCTCAGCATATTGTCTAGTAATGTGAAGGTTGATGTTTTGTTAGGCTTATTTGCCTCTGGGGAGATTCAGTGTTGTATAAATAGAAAGCTGGAGGACTACATGCAATGGTAGTTCTATATTGAGGCTGCCTTACAACTCACTGCATATCTCTCAGAATGTGATCTGAAGTTATTGCATATTTTGCATCCATACTAGGAGATTTTTATTCCAGTTAAACATAATTTTAGTCTACAAGTATTTATTTAAACCTTTTGTATGAATGGTATAAGGAAGAAACTATTCATGCCCTTGTATGAATAAAGGTTTTAACTGTCCTAATAAAAACCAGTGTGCCCTTTTCTTTTTTATATCCCTGTATCTTTAAAACTAGCCACTTACTATTCAGCTGCTAGTTACTTTAAAAAAAAAAAAACCCACAAACAACAAAACAAACCTAACATTTGTGAACTTTGATCTGTTCTTTTTTTCTAGATATAGCTTCTCGTTATCCTACCTTATGGACTGAGCAAGTAAAGAGTAGACAAAACAAAACCAATAAAAGCTCAGGTAAGAGCTTGTGTTGTCCTTACTTCGCAAACCTCCTGTGAGGAGATGCATTAAACCTTGTCAAAACTGAAGCCATTTAAGTGAAAGCCCTTTTAATAACCATTATGTTTCCACTCTTATCATACTATAGGAAGTTAATGATTTGTGATGATTTTGTAGGCTCCTGCATCATGCATTCCTTTCATATGGAAGTATTTTTGTCCAGGCTTTACCAGGTGTAAATTGACATAATTCCTCTAAATTCTCTGGCTCACAACTCTTTGCATCTGTGAGGGAATCTGACATTTATGTTTTGCCTCCTCTTTAATTCTCTGCCTCTTTGTTATTGACTTGTATTTTCTTTTTTTTTCTTTTCTTTTTTTTGGGTGACATAGCAAGAAGGTACTTGGAATATGGCAATGTGCATTACAGGTGTTTCATGGTAACTCTTAGGAGGCAAATGTGAAAAGACTCAAACTCCCGTCAGAGACCAGCTGTCAGTTCAGAAATTGGAAAGCTAGTGTTACCGTCTTTTTGCTACATCACTCCTCTGTTATTTACAGGCTGATCACCAGTTCAGTGCAAATTAATTATGCTGCCTTTTTTATAATTGCTGAATTTTGGCTTTACTTTTTTCCGCCATTCTTCAGAACTGAGCTTTGTAAACCTGGACTATGAATGGCAGGTCAATTTCCTAAGACTGAAGCATCTAAAATACTCTGTTACTTTCAGTTCTTTGGTGGACTGTAAGTTTTGGTGCCTTTCTCGCTGTTCCTTCCTGTCAGTGGAAGAAAGTTTAGGGAATCTTCTTGAGTTTCTTGGTTTCTTTTCTCTGGAAAAATGTTTAATTTGAAAGGAAATATTAATGATATGAGATATAACTCACTAAATCATCCAGAAGCACATTTCAGATCCAGTGGAAGTTGAGGTTGTGCTTTACATTAAGTACTGGGCTGAAGTATTTACTGAACTGAGGCCCAAAAGGATTTAAGAAGACAAGCAATCACCATAAGACAGACATATCCTTACTAAGAGGTTTACAGATTCCGTTATGTTAGCAATTTTTAGCATCAAAGCTGTAATTACTAATACTTTTTCTTCTCCTTGATGCTCCAGTAGGCACTTAAGGAGAGGATGTTAAACAAGGTGTAGACAAGAGTTTGAAGCAAATGCTTCCCATGCTGGAGATTTATTCTGTCATTTGTTTAGTTAGTGTTAGCAAGAACAGAGTTCTTTTGGGATTTCTGTCATGTGAAATATATGCACAGAAATATGCCACTTTTAGGAGTGTTTATTTAAGTTTGACAGTGCTAGAAACTAGATCTAAAGCAAGAATTCCTGAGTTTGCAGTGCAGCTGCTGGAAGCCAAAACTTCAACATACACACAAAAATATTAGAAAACCACCAAAGAAAAGTTTGGTTTATTACTGGGAACTTGTAGCCTCCTGTTCACCTAAAGATATATTTACAAAGGAAGAGAAACCAGAAGCGTAGTCTGCCTGTCTCAGGTTGCTGGCCCATGGTAGATTAGCATCAAAAGCATGGTTGTATTGGATTTGCTAACAACAGGACTTGCTCTGTACAACTGTACTAAGTACGGGACATCTCTGGAGGGCTAGCATATGCTATAGTCTATGGTGCTATAGCTAGACTGGCAGAAATAAATCAGCAGATGCTGTGTAGCCAGCTTTGCCTTAATTACTAGGTGTACCTGATACACCAGAAGGGACCACTGTAACTTCTCTTGTATATGTAATATGACATAATCAAGATGAATCTAGGCACTAAAAAGCGTGTCTTCACCAGCTGCGCTTGGCAGTATCTCTCTTCCAGACTCTAAAGATATAATGTGTGTCTGTGACTGTGTATTTATAAGTTGTTTTGATGGATGAGCCTCACTAATACTCAGTAAACAGTTTTTTTAAGGACTTGAAAAAACTAGGTTAGAATTTCCCCTAATTACGTCTCAGAATGGTGCCAAGGGTTTTGGAAACATCCACAGAGTGAACTCTGGGCTGCTTCATGTATGGAATTGGAAGCACCTTGTGACTGAATCCGCTGGACTGTAAACTAACTACCTTTGGACACCCAGGCTTCAATATAAGGGATAAATACAGGGGTCCTCTTTACTCAGTTTGCTTAGAAAACTCTGATTCAGACTTGGTCATAAAAACACAAGAAAGCTTATTGAAATTTATTTTTTTGAGTAAAATGAGGAGAATTTATGTCTGCATTTGAACTGTGTTTATAAAACAAAAGATGAAACCCAATTTTTGATAGTGGACTAGATTTTGTTCTTTTATAGTAACCCAAGTGATTTCAAGGAAGTTCTTCAGGTGCAAATAGCATTATGACCTGGCCCTGCCTGTAGAAAATAACTAAAGAAAAATAGTGCTAAAAATTTCCAGCAAACTCCAAATATCTTACTTAAAAGCTGACTGTTTTAGTCTGTATTGCTTTTATTTTTTCTAATTTTTACCTGAATATATGTCCTAATATGTCATGGTGAACAAGTCATAGTCATAAAGAAACTTGTCTTGACCTGAGAAATCAATCTTCTAAGGAGAATGTTTTTGTGAATTAAGAATGACAAGAAGTTACTGTTGGCAAAATCCCCATCAACATCAGGTCCCGTAACAAACAATAGCTCTGTTTAGAGTGGTGGATTTGGGTAGAAACATCTTCATTTAGGTATTTTTATGTTGAAGATGATTTTAAATATTTTTTTAAATACTTTTTTTCCCCCAGAATTAGGAAAAAAGTACACATCTGCTTGCTAAAATAACACAGTGTTTGCTGATATTGTTTTATGTTTCTTGGTGCCTTTGGAGGTATTTTGCAAATATTTTGTTTCTTCTGGATTTCTTTTCATCCCCGCACTCTTCATTTCTTCCTCCATTTCACAGAAAATATTGTGTTAGCCACATCAAATTGACAAAAGTAAGAATTATAGCAACAGCTATCAAAAATAAACAGAAATGCCGTGAAAACATTGAACATATTAAGGCATGAAACATGACAGGACAAGGAGTAACGGGTTTAAATTGAAAGTGGGGAGGTTTAGATTAGATATCAGGAGGAATTTCTTCATGGAGAGGGTGGTGAGGTACTGGAACAGGTTGCCCAAGTGGTGGATGCCCTATCCCTAGAAGTGTTCAAGGCCAGGCTGGATGAGGTTTTGGGTAACCGGGTCAGGTGGAAGGTGTCCCTGCCCATGGCAGGGAGGTTGGAACTAGATGATCTTTAAGGTCCCTTCCAACCCAAACCATTCTGTGATCCTGTGAAAATGTAGCAGCCTACACGCTGCCTTCTATGTGTGAACTCAGCATCTAAACTCCTGTTGTAGTTTGTGGAGATGCAGTCAGTGTTGTCTGCAGAGCCTGCAAAGCAGCCCACCTCCTCGTAAAGCTGACATCAGCACTCGGTGAGCTGACTAGACAACTGTACCTCACGGACCGTGGGGACTAGTTCAGCTCTCCAGCCTATATGAAGGTATCTGTGTTTTAGATGAAGTTTATGCCACCGTAGTATCAGTTGAAAATCCAGGGTGTATTTTTTTAGAGCTTTTGTATTCTGTAAAGACCGGAAGACAAAGTTTTTTGCCTTGAAGAAACTGGGTATTTTGGACTATGTCCTCACAGCTGCCAGTTAATGTAGCTTCAGGGATAGGTGCAACCTTGATGTGGGTGGAGAACACCATGTGACACTGCAGATACTTTCCCATCATGGAACAGGGAAAATGCAATTCCCTGAGGAAAGCTTAGGTTGGACTATAGCTTGCTCATATTCTCCTTGCTATATCTGCTCTACCAGCAGTTTATATCCCTGTGGGATTCTTGGGAATTAAGTGTGATGTTTTTAAGAGGTTGTATGCCCTTTCTTGTGTTTGAGTATAGGCAGAGTAGTTTAATCCTTTTCACAGTGGCGAGTGAAGCTTAACTCATTCTGTTAGCTTGAATTTAAAAGAAATTTTTTCAAATACTTTACTGTGGGAGCACTTCCATGAAAAATAAACAGGGTGATTTTAACTGATGATATTGTTAATGTTCAATAAAATTCTTAAAGTACTGAGTAATTTCAAAGTACAATCTGTACACCACACAAATGACAACAAATAATACTCAGTATAAAATTTCACTAATTTTGAAAATGCAGGATACAAAAGGTCATCCATAATCTGGAGTATACTTACATATGTGCTTGAGGTCTTTAGAGATTCTGGTGATAATATAATTCAAGTTAAAAGAGCCAGGGTTAAATAATGTATCACTGACTAAGACACAGTCCGGTTTCAGGTACTTACTGTTCAGTTCTATTCTCTTATTATTAATACTTCTGTATTCTTTTTCCTTAAAGATTGAACAGTCATTAGAAACTCTAATGATTCATATGTTTGTTGATTAGTTATGTAGTTTCTTTAATGAGCATTGTAAACTGATTGAAAAATTTATGTTTGTTTCGTTGATAATTTGATGTGGCCAGTAAAATAGAGGACAGGAAGTGATTGTTGCATTTCTTTATACTTTACTGACCTTGACTTTGATTCATGTGTTAAATTTTAAACATGTGAAATCAGTGGGTAGAAATTTAGAGCCCCTGGCAGTCAATGGCAGAACTCCCAGACAGCAGCTGAACTCCCATTCATACTCTGACTATATGCTACTAGTTCACCCAGTAGTTCACATTTCATCTGGATCAGGCACAGACACGTGATGTAGTGCTTGTGCCAGCTTCATGCTTTCTGCCGGTTTTATGCTTATATGCTTTAAGCAGGTGCTAGAGGACAAGCCATACATGATCCAGCATAAAATAGGGTCAGCCCAGGAAACCCTGTTCTGGCATAAAGCCTGCTGAGGCAGAGTCAGGCTGTCAAAATTCTTAACACATCTGTGCAGAAAGTACTGGGTCATGTGATTCTGACATTTTTCATCTAGGAAAAAAAAATCATAAATTCATAGTGTCCACAAACTGTGGCTTTAGTGGCTTCAAGAGGGCCCAGATTTCAGCCATTGTACCTGGAT